TTCATTTAGTGTGAATTAATTTAAATTTAAATACCCACATGCGGTTAGGGGCCACCCTATGACAGCTCAGCTCCGTAAATCAGCAACCTCTCTCTGCCACTACCTCCCCAAACACTATACCCCCCTATATTGTAATGTACTTACTACTATCTTACCAAAGATATCCATATTTACCTGTCTGCCATCCCTCTCCTTTCTAAATGTGAACTCCTCAAGGGAAAACACTCGGGTCTGTTTAGGTCAGGACTGGATCAAAATCCAGTGCCCAGCACTGGGTAGGCACTCAGTTAATATTCATGCATTGAGAGGCGCCTGGGTGGCTCAGTCAGTTGGGCATCTGACTTTAGCTCAGGTCATGATCTCACACTTCATGGGTTGGAGCCGCATGTCGGGCTCTGTGCTGACAGCCCAGAGCCTGGAGCCTGCTTCAGATTCTGTCTCCCTCTCTCTCTGCCCCTCCCCTGCTCTCATTCTGTCTCTCTGTCTGTCAAAAATAAACATTAAAAAATTTTTTTAAAAATATTCATGCAGGGGCGCCTGGGTGGCGCAGTCGGTTAAGCGTCCGACTTCAGCCAGGTCACGATCTCGCGGTCCGTGAGTTCGAGCCCCGCGTCGGGCTCTGGGCTGATGGCTCGGAGCCTGGAGCCTGTTTCCGATTCTGTGTCTCCCTCTCTCTCTGCCCCTCCCCCGTTCATGCTCTGTCTCTCTCTGTCCCAAAAATAAATAAACGTTGAAAAAAAAAATTCATGCATTGAATTAATTAAATAACAAAAGAAAGTCCATGAAAAGAAGGAAGGGAGGGAGGGAGGGAAGAAAGGAAGGAAGGAAGGAGGGAAAGAAGGAGGGAAGGAAGGAAGGAAGGAAGGATGGAAGGAAGGAAGGAAGGAAGAAGGAAGAAAGAAGGAAGGAAAGGGAGGGACAGAGAAAAAGAGAGGAAGAGAGGGAACAAGGGAGAAAAGGCTGATTCTACCCAATTTCTTAGATCAATATCTCAGTTTAACTCGGGGTTCCGAATGGTCTAATCAAGAGTGTGAAGCTGTTAAAATAGCAGGTGCCTGGTCATCAAACAGGCTTTGGCTCACATCCCAGCTGGGACACTGCTGGCCTGTGTGACAATGGGTGGACTACCTTGTCCTCTGGAGTTACCAAGTCTGGGTATTTCCGTCTAGATTTTTCCACTTGTATAATGGAAATAATAATATTTACTTGGGAATGTATAAGGATACCTGGCACTCAGTACGTACTCAAAGCAAATATTGCCAAAGGAAATTTCTGAGTAAGTGGGAATACACGGGCTGGGCCTGGGGAACCTTTCTTGTTTTGTGAAAGTCCTTGCCTTCTTTTCATTGTGTCCCATCAGCCTGTCACTGGAAACAGTTGAGGATTACAAACATGTACTTTCCACAAACAAATGTCAAACCTCCCAACAAAGAAAGGCCCAAGACAGTTGCCTTCGCCATTGAATCTTACCAAACATTTCAAGAAGAACCAATTCCAGTGCTCTCAAACTCTTCCCAAAAACGGAAGAGGAGGGAACACAACCACTCATTTTATGGGCCCGTAATGAGCTCGATAACAAAGCCAGGCAAAGACACAAGAAAAGGAACCACCGGCCAATCTATCTGATGAGCATGGATATAAAAATCCTCAATCAACTACCAGCAAATCAAATCCGAAGGCACTCACTTTAGGCAGATCGCACACCACGAACAAGCGGGATTTATCCCTGGGACATAACACAGGGAAACCCCAGCACAGGGAAATCAATTCACGTGATATCCCATGGCAACAAAACAAAAGAAAAGTCACAGGATTGTCTGAATAGAGGCAGAAAAGGCACTTGACCAAAGTGAACACACTTTCGCGATTAAAATCCTCAACAAAGCAGGAATGGAAGGGAATTAACTCAACACGGCAAAGGACATATACGAAAAGCCCACAATTAATATTATAGTGAAAAACTGAAAGCTTTTCCTCTAAGGTCAGGAAAAAAGGCAAGGATACCAACTCTCGCCACTTCCGTTCAACACAGTACTGGAGGTCCTAGACAAAGCACTTAGTCGAAAAACGAAAACAAACTAAGATAATTAGAGAAAAGAAAAGAGAGGAGAGGAGAGGAGAGGAGAGGAGAGGAGAGGAGAGAACAGAAAAGAAAAGAAAAGAAAAGAAAAGAAAAGAAAAGAAAAGAAAAGGCATCCAAATTGGAAAAGAAGAAGTAAGTGTCTCTGTTTACAGTTGACGTAATCTAATGTATACAACATCTTAAAGATGCCATAAAAAAATTGGAATTAATACATTCAGTAAAGTTGCAGGCTACAAAACCAGCATACAAAAAGCAACTGTGGGGGCGCCTGGGTGGCGCAGTCGGTTGAGCGTCCGACTTCAGCCAGGTCACGATCTTGCGGTCTGTGAGTTCGAGCCCTGCGTCGGGCTCTGGGCTGATGGCTCAGAGCCTGGAGCCTGTTTCCGATTCTGTGTCTCCCTCTCTCTCTGCCCCTCCCCCGTTCATGCTCTGTCTCTCTCTGTCCCAAAAATAAATAAACGTTGAAAAAAAAAAATTTTAAAAAAAACAAAAAGCAACTGTGTTTCCATATACTAATAATGAATTATCTGAAAATGATATTAGGGAAACAATCACATTTCCAATAGCATCAAAGAAAATTCAAATAATACAATGAAAGACTGGTGTACAGAAAATTATAGAACACTGACAAAAGAAATTAAATAAGACACAAACAAATGGAAAGGCATCCATTTCATGGATTGGAAGGCTTAATATTATCAAAATATCCATAATAGCAAAGCAATTTAAAGAGTCAACACAACCCCTATCGAATTCCCAATGACTTTTTTTTACAGGAAGAGAAAAAAAAACAATTATAATTCACATGGAACCACAAAAGATCACAAACAGCCAGATCCACCTTGGGCAAGAATGGAGCTGGTCACATCACACTTACGGATTTCAAATTATATTACAAAGTTACATTAATCAGAACAGCATGGCGTTGGCATAAAGACAGACACAGAGACCAATGGAACAGAATAAAGAGCCCAAAAATAAAGTCATACATACGTGGTCAACTGATCTTTGACAAGGGTACCAAGAATACACAATGGGGCAAGGTAGTCTCTTCAACAAATGGTGCTGGGAAACTGGATATTGACACACAGATGAACGAAATTGAGCTTTACCTCACACCATATACAAAAATCAAGTAAAAGTTGGCTATAGATTGAAATGTTAAGACTTGAAACTATAAACCTCCCAGAAGAAAACATTGAAAGAAAAAAGCCTCGTGATACTGTCTTAGCGATGATTTCATGGATATGACATCAAAAGCACAGGTAACAAAAATAAACAAGTATATCAAACTAAAAAGCTTCTGCACAGCAAAGGAAATAGTCAAGAGTGCAAAGACAACCTACAGAATGGGAGAAAACATTAGGAGACCATATATCTGATAAGGGGCTCAACTCCAAAATATGTAAGGAGCTCCTGTAATTCAATAGTTTAAAAAACCCCACAACTAGGAACCTGATTTTAAGACTTGAACAGACATTTCTCCAAAGAAGATGTTCAAGTGGCTAATAGGTAGGTTAATAGGTGGCTGAATAGAACTAATCATCAGGGAAATGCAAATCAAAACTACAAGTGGTCAGGAAGGCCACTAGCAAAAAAAGAAAAAATATTGGCAAGGATGTGATGAAATCAGAGCCCTTGCACACTGATGGTGGCAATGTAATAGCTACAGTGGAAAACAGCATGGAGGTTCCTCAAAAAATGAAAACTAGAACTTCCATATGATTGCGCAATCTCACTTCTAGATACTTATCCACAGTAATTGAAATCAGGATCTCAAAGAGGTATCTGCACTCCCGTGTTCGTTGCAGCATGGGTCACGATCGCCAAGATGGGGGAACGATGTAAACGTCCATCAACAGATGGATGAATTAAAAAAAAAATGTGGTTTATAGGTACAATAAAATATCATCTAGGCTTTGAAAGAGAAAGAAACACTACAATTTGCAACAACACGGATGAATCTTGAGGACATCATGCTAAGTGGAAGAAGCCAGTCACAAAAAAGGACAAATACTGCACGATTCCGTAGACACGAGGTATCTAAAAAGTCAAAGTCGGGGGCGCCTGGGTGGCGCAGTCGGTTAAGCGTCCGACTTCAGCCAGGTCACAATCTCGCGGTCCGTGAGTTCAAGCCCCGCGTCAGGCTCTGGGCTGATGGCTTGGAGCCTGGAGCCTGTTTCCGATTCTGTGTCTCCCTCTCTCTCTGCCCCTCCCCCGTTCATGCTCTGTCTCTCTCTGTCCCAAAAATAAATAAAAAACGTTGAAAAAAAAAAATTTAAAAAAAAAAAAAAGTCAAAGTCATAGAATGGAAGAGGGGGAATGGTGGTCGCCAGGGACTGAGGTGCGGAGGAAGCGGGGAGGTAGGTACTCAACAAGGGGCATAAAGTTTCAGTTGCCCAACATGAATAAGCTCTAGAGATCTGCTGTGCAGCATCGTATCCACAGTCAACAATGATATACTGCACATTTTAAAATTTGTTAGGAGGGTAGATCTCACGTCCAGTATTCCTTCCACAAGAAAATTTCCTTACAGAATGCCTACATTGCAGGAAAGCATTGATGCTGGCCATCTCCTAAATTTGTGGCTTTTGTTTCTCTGCTCTCCTCATTTGGATCCTCAAGGAAGAAACAGCATTAGCAATCTTGAAATAATTACCATTGTAATCCACCTAAACCGGGACTGCTGGGGTAATTTAATTTTCAAAATGCAATTACAGCAGATCCAAAGGAAACTCTTCAGACTTCCTTTCGCATTTCAAACTTGGCAAGCCCGCGTCTTCCCGTCAAGGAGGAAATTCCCAGGGCCCAGCAACCAACACAGAAACAGACACACAGACCCGCGCGTGCGCACGCGCCTAGTGGTCGGGACTTTTACATTTTGTTAATGAAGTTTTTAAAAATCCATCATTCTTACCTTTCCAAAACTCCCTTTACCGATGGCCCGCAGGATCTGAAAATGGTCAAAGTTGACTGCAAAAGAGAATGAGGGAAAGAAAGAAACAGATCAGGTTGGCCACACCTTGTCACTGGTTCTCGAAAGTCCGCCCTACATTCCCACCCATTTATTCCGAATGGCTTCTGGTTTCATCTGCCTTATATTTGTCACGGCAGCACCCCGCCTTAGTTTTCGGGGGGTCTCCCCATTCTTGCTACCCCTACTGCCTTACTCTGGTCTGGTTTCCACCCTATCCCTACAGCACAGCAGGCCAACAACACATGGCCACGGACACCTTTTCCTTGGCCACTCTGTCCTTCTCAAAGCACCTGCTCGGCTCCTACGGAAATGCACCCTCTCAGTTTTCCAGTTCATGCTTCAGCTCATGCTTCGCGCGCACTCCGCTCCACCGTCCCAGCCACGAGATACTAAAGTCTGTCAAGCCTCCATCTACCACCTTCCTCTTCTCACCGGTTCCAAAGGCTTCAGTCACACCCTAATTGCCAGGGACTCTCCAAGGAACCTTTTCTCTGGCCTCCAGGCTCTACGTACTGATGGATGCCTACCCCAACTTTGAAGGGGTAGGCATCTTCATCTTTGAAGTCTTGAAGCTTCAAAGCCACTTTGAACCCGACAGGTCCAAAACGGAGCATGGGAGGAGTGCTTCAGCATGCACCCACCTCACGCGCTCAAAGCCTGGAACTCATCCAACACCCCCTGCCCCTCTCTCTCAACCCCCCATGAGTCCTTCATCGGGTTAGGTCCGCTGTACCTCTTGGCTCTCTCTCCCATCTGCCCACCTGTAGTCCAGTCCTCCTCCTCTCTTGACCCTCCCGTCCCGGGATATGTTTTGGCTGCAGGGAGGGGGTCTCGCCCATCCTCTACTCCCCTCCAATATGCCCCATCGCTGCTTTCCAAGAAAAGAGCAAATTCCTACATGGACCATCCAGACACTCGCCTCTTCTGTTTCACCGCCCACATTCCCCATACCCTCCAAGCTCCAGACACACAAGCTTCTTTTCTGTGCCTACGACAGTCATCCCCTGGGCTTTTAACGCTCTTCTCCTGACTGCACGCTTATGAACTCTGCCCTCTCTTCACCCTTCTCCGTCCAGAGCAAACCGAGCTCACCCGCCAGATTTTCGGCTCCCCTGGCCCACTCTCCCAGCGGGGCTTTCCTCCAAAACACCTGGTTCTGTATTACTTTACATGGATTTGATTAAGATCACTTCTTCCCCACTAGACGCCAAGCCCCCTGAGGTCAAAAGCCGTGTTTGCATCTCCCACCGCGTCCCCGGCACCTAGCACGGTGCGAGCACACAGTCAGTATCCAGCAAATACTCATCAACTCAAGGGCTGAGTGAAAGCAGATGTCCACTTGCACACCAGCCACGACTGCTCGTGCATCAGGAGTGTTCGGTAAACAGTTTTTAATGAGGCTGAATTACAGCCAGTTTCCAGTAACTCGGAAAGACACGTCATTTACAAAAGATGAAGTGAATTGATTCGTTCACTCTGCTGCGGGGGCGAGGATGCGGGGAAGTGAACGAACACGGTTCCCTGTGTATGAAAAGGACGTGAAGGAGGACAATTAGGTTGAACTGTGTCCCTACAGAGCCCCAGTCAGAATCCAGCGTGCCCTCCGGTGCCCAGCGTGCTTGGAACAGAGAGGCAGAGTCAATGGTTAACTTGGCAAAACCTTGCTTCTTGGACCTGGATTGGCTTCCTTCGCGTATAGCTTGTCAGGAAAGGAAAGCCTACGCTCTGACCTCCTGCCCCCTCACCAAAAGTCAAAGAAGAGAAAACAAGGTGCCTGGACTGCGTTTGCCAGGTGCCCAGCAGCGAGCTGGGAGATGGGCGCATCCTCTCGTGAGCCCCGAGGCCCCACGGGGCAGGCATCGCTGCCAGGGTTTGCCAGCCACCCCCCACTTGGCAGGAAACATCCCTGCTTCTCCGAGCACTCCCTACAACATCAGGATAACACCCCTCGTTTGGGGGGTAACTCCTGCCTGCACGTGGCTCACCTGCTCTCTCAGGAAGCCTCTCCCTCTTCCAATTCAGCCCTTTCTCTCTGGACCTCCCGCAAGACCGGTCTGTCCAGGCATCAGGAGAACCCAGCCCAAGTCAGACCGCTTAGGTCCAGAACCCGGCTCTGCCACAGCCCTCGGTGAGTCACATGGCCTCCGTGTGCCTCACTTACCCCACCTGTTAAGTAGGTGCGACAGTGCCCACCTCCCACAAAAGCAGAGAATCGTGCCCAGCACAGTGCAACGTCTCAAGAAGCCCTCACTGTTTGTTCTGGGGGACAAAAGGCGGTCCTCCCTGCCATCCAGCCTAGTCCAATAAGCAAGGAAGTACCGATGTGTCTCATGTCTTCTGTTGGAAACCCCCACAGAACACGCATTTTTTGTAGGGGGTACGGATGCGTGAGATTATTTACAGCGTGATAACCCCAATTATGAAAATAATAATAAGTTTAGGCATTCGCCGGTTGGCTCAGTAATGAACACCCTGCTCCAGTTAGGAGACAAGACCAAAGAGCCAAGCCCTCCTAGGAAGGCCGTTCCCTGCACACCCCCCGCCTCCTAGCCCATCAAAGGGGGTGTGAGCCCAGTGCTGTGCTAGACAAGGAGCAGCCCCTGTGTATTTCCGCTTATCCTGCTCTCTCTTTGGAAACTGTCTTCAGGGAGCAAGCTTTTCCTCTGCTCCTTCTTGCCAGAAGCTTCTTAGGGCCAGCCCCCATGTGCAGGGGCCCGCGGTGTCCAGAACTGCCCCTCAAGGGTGGGGGGGGGGGGGGGGGGGTCTGGCTAACTCTGGGCTTTGGCATCAGGGAGCCCTCGCGGCTGCCCTCCTGGGCCCCAATCCTCAACCCCAGGTAAGACTTGATTCTCCGCCGGCCTCTCCTTCTGTCGCGTCTCCTAACTGGAGAGGGGTGTTCATTACTGAGCCAACTGGCAAATGCCAAAACCCGTTATCATTTTAATAATCAGTGTTAACCGTGCTGTAAATAACCTCACTCATCCGGATCCCCTACAAAAACAGGTGCTCTGTGGGGGCTTCCAACATAATAACATGAGCCAAACAGGTACTCGTTTAATGTTTATTTGCTTATTGGACTAGATTGGATTTAAATGGCTTTGAGCATATGGCCTGTGTTCTCCATTTATGTGGCATCTCCCTGAGGCCTGGTATACTGGTACTTACATAAATGGTGCCTACGTGAACACACTCTGAAGAAGGGAGGGCTCTGCAGTGGCTGGTGAGCAGTCTGAAATGGCTTCAGGGACCGTGTGAAGCCAAAGACGGGTCTAGAAATTGCATTGTCACGTAGGGTTGTTGGCCCAGAGCAGGAGAACTTGGCCGGGGGATGGGAGGGATTGACGAGCGAGTTCAGATCTTGTCCTGGTTTGCCTGGGACCCCCCTGGTTTCAGCACTGAAATTCCCACATCCCTAGGAAAACCAGCATAGCTGGGTCACCTGTCACGTTTCCAGATCATTAAACTGCACCCCCCCCCCC